TAGAATGGAGAGACCAAGGGAGAAGAGGTATGGAATAAAGTTGGGAAAAGTAGGCAGGAGCCTACTTTTAGAACGAAAGGCAGTTTGATCTTTTGATTTTTTTATTTTGTTTTTAAAATTCAGTAATTTTGCTTTCGTTTTAAATGTATTTTTATGGTTACTTCCTACTAATGGCAAATGTTTTTCCATTGAAAAAACTGTAAGAATTAAAAAATGTATTCAGCTGCAAATAACAGGCATCTGACTAAAACTCACTTAAACTGCAAGGACATTTATTTACCTTAATTAACAAATAGTCTGGAGGCAAACAGTCCCAAGTTTGGTATAGCAACTCAATGAAAGATGACTCTTTCCATCTTTCCACTCTGCCATCCTCAGCATATCAGCCATGTCTCCCACACATGGTTGCAAGATGGCTGCAGCAGCTCCAAGAATCACATCCTTACACAGGAAGTAAAGAGCTAGGACTGTCCTCAGGGGAAGAAAAGAGAAGAAAATTTTTCTCAGAAGTCCTTCCAGCAGACTCTGTAGGTCCCATTGGTGAGAAATGGGTTACATGCCTATGCCCTACCCGGCAGAGCCTTGGAAAGTAGTATCTGGCATTTGCTGATCCTATAGCAGAAGGTGGTCTCTACTAGGCAAGAAGGATGAGTGGAAAAACACCAGCTAATGAATACATAGTCAATATTTACACAGGTAATAATACGAAGCTTCTTTCCATACTATGTCTAAATAAGCTAAAGAACAGGTAGGTGTAGTTAAAGAAAACATCAAATAATATTGATAAAGAGGGAAACATTCATCAAGATGGTACTTAATGTCTAAAATGTGGAAAACACTAATTTAGAGCCAAAATCACTGAGTTACTAACACCCACCTCAAAAAAAGTAGGGGTGGATGCCCATGGTTAATATATTTTACAAGTGATACAATCAAAATCCTCAGAAAATTGCTAAAACATTATTTAATATAAAAAAAAGTTAACCCTATGTTACAATTAATCTGAAATAACATGTCATTTATTTCTCCTTTCTTCCGTTTGAGGCCTTAAAGGCAGGAAGCATAAGGGAAAGACCAAGAGAATCACAGGTCCAACCCTAACATGGTTGAGATACTGAACTAACCTGCTGCCACCTACCTAGAGGCTTGTTACCTGTAAGAAAAAAATTCTCATTTAAGCCACCATTAAATCAGGTTATATGCTACCTGCATGTTACTAAGGTAACATAAATATGATTATCTGTAAAGGGCATGTGAGAACAGGAAGCTTAATCTGTCTCCTACTCTGTTAGTTAAAGGGACAATGGAGTAATACAGCAGGCCACAGTTTCCTATGGAATAAAAAGGCAAAGCAACCAAGGAGTACTGACTGACTCAAGCTACTATGTTCACATTGATATTTTTAGTCGGACAAGGAATTTTTGAGCAAAGGATTTTAAAATTTGACCCCTGCCTAATTTAACTGTATGTGGCCCAGCTCAAGGGCTATATGAAAAGGGTGGAAATAGCCCAGTGCCTAAAAAATTCTAGGCATTTGATAGATGTTCATTACCTTCTCCTTCCCTCTTAGATTGCAGACAGGAAATCAGGCTGCCTGAGGGCATGCCCATTGTGTTTTTAAGCATTCATACAGTAGAAAGAACAGCTTAGGGTAATTCTTCCCACTATTTAGCAGCTAAAAAATATCTTGACAGGAAACAAGGCTGCAGAGGTTGGGAGGATTCAAAAACATTGAGGGATTTGTATATGAAGTTATGGACCCTGTGACAACGGATTTTAAGCAGACAAGTGATGATACAGATTTGAAAAATTAGGTAGATAATCCTGCAAGGGTAACATGGGAGTAAATTTGGAAGAAAAGTTTGGTTTCCATCTTAGTGAGTAGGGAGTATCTGTGGAACATCCAGATGGAAACGTCTAACAAGTGTACCTATTCAAGGCTTAAATTAGGGGAACAGGTTCAAATAGAAACACAGATCTGGGAGTCTTTAGAGCATAGGTACTTATTATAACTGTGAGAGAACCTGAGAATGGCCAGAGACTTTATAGAGCAGGGGTTCTCAATCAGGGACAATATGTGCTCCCCAGGGGACATGTGGCAATGTCTGGAGACATTTTTGGTTGTCTTACCTGGTGGGGGTGGGGAGGTCATTCTGGTAAGGAAGGGGTTACTGCATACAGGAGATAGAGGGCCAGGGATACTGCTAAACATCCTACAATGTACAGAAAGCCCCAACAACAAAAAATTACCCCAAATGTCAATAGTCCTAAAGGTAAGAGCCCTGCTGTAGAGTTAAGAGAAAAAGCAAAATGAAGGAAACACCTTGGGAAAACAAAAGTATTTAGGAAGTATCCACAAGAAGGAAAAGTCAGAAGAGATAAATCAAGAAAATGTAATGTCATGGAAGTCAGAAGTACAGAATTTCAAGAGGGAACAAAAAGACCAAAAATGTGAATTCCGTGAACTGAACCCAAACAGTAAAGATTTCAAAGTATCTACTGGGTCACAGCTGATTTTAGTGAAAGGAGGGCCAGGAATAATGAGATGAGGAAGTACAGAAAGTAAACATAGACTCCTCTTAAGAAATTTTATTGAAAAGGGAAGGAAATGAGATTGGGTAGAAACTAAAGCAGTGATTTTCAACTCTGGCTACAATCAGAATAACCTCAGGGGCTTTTAAAAATTACCAATGCCTGGACCTCACACAGAATAATTAAATCAGAATGGGGGGCGAGAGGAGGAAAGGTATCAAGATTTTAAAGAATATCCTCAGTGACACTAATGTACAGCCAGAACTGATAACCACAGAACTAAAGTGTGGGGGTGGGGAGGGGTGGGGGGGAATCAAGGCAGGAGACAGTAAAGGGAGAAAAAGAGAACAGGGAGAAGAAAATGGATGAAACGAAATCCCAGAAGAAATAGGTCAGAGAAATGGGTCAGAAACATGGGCTGATGGAGTTGCTTTAAAAAAAAAAAAAAAAAAAACCTCATCTGAGGAGACTGGAAGAAAGGCAGGAGACAGTAAAGGGAGAAAAAGAGAACAGGGAGAAGAAAATGGATGAAACGAAATCCCAGAAGAAATAGGTCAGAGAAATGGGTCAGANAAAAAAAAAAAAAAAGGACACCTCATCTGAGGAGACTGGAAGAATATTGATGTAGAGAAGTTGGGCACAGTGATTTGGGGAGTTCATACCTAAGGCCCCGATTTTCATAATGAAGACTACAAGCCAGCTGCTGAGAATCAGATACTGGACAGGTAATTTGGGGAGTAAAATATGGTGAAAGCTCAAAATGTTTGCTGAAGGGAATGTAAATTTTAAAACTAATCAAAAGCATTGACAGTCTGGTGGAGATTAAATGCACATGGCCAGTTGCAGGGCCACCAATGGGCTCATTTAAATGATTTTCCTCGGGAAGTACTGAGCCACCAACCCCAGGTTCAGGAGCATAGTAGAAACAGACCACAGCACTAATCCAAACTGGCAGTATTGTGTGGGTGGGAGGGGAAAAAAAGTGCACAGGAAGTCAAAGTTTAGATGAACTGCAGCTGATGAGTTCAACAATGGGATTTCAACCAGGTAGAGAAAGGAAAGTAATCTACATGCAATTAAACTGGCACAGGACACAGTGGATTTACCTCTGAGCACTGAAGCTATTAAAACGCTCTAAGATTTCATTGGCTTTTGTTCCAGGCATTCCCACTAAATTGGTTTGCCATATCCTATAATTGTCCTAAGGAATGTCTGAAACTAAATGAAATTCACAAAACATAAGATAGCTAATGGGATAAATAGATGGATAGATATGTGACAAATCAATTAGGGTAAAATATTAATAGTGAAGTCTAGAAGGTGTATGTGGGAGGGCGTGTAGGCTCTAGAACAGAACTACCCAATAGGACTTTGAGATGACAGAGCTGTTCTATAATCTGGGCTGTGACTGAGCCCTGAAAAGGTGGCTAGTGTGACTGAGGAACTTTGAGTTTTATTAACTTTTATTTTAAGCTGATGTAACTTCATGTGGCTAGTGGCTGCTGTATCAGATAGTGCTGCTCTAGATTGCTATTCCTGGGCTCAAGTCCTGGGTCCCCCACCCATCCGGCTTACTATAATTCCCTGAGTTTCAATTTATTTTTATATAAAATGGCAATAGCAACAGCACCCACTAATTCATACAGATGAAAGGAGACAAGCGGATAAAACATGAAGCACAATCCTATGCATATGGCAAACACTTAAAAAAAACAGTCCATTATCCCTACTAAGTGGGATCCATGAGGTCAAGGGTCACCACTGTCTCCCCAGTGTTAGTACAAACGCCCTGGCATAAAAGACACTCAGTAAACATCTGTTGCATGAATATTTTTGCAGCCACAACACTATGTTTATTCCTAACAAATTTCACATTAAGTCCATTATTCTGATCTACTGGGGTCTTTTTGAATCCTAATGTCACCCAATATACTTGGTCATCCTTTTCAGTATCTTCCGAAATCTTGATAAACAAACATTACCTATATATTAATCTGAGACATTAATTAAAAAACCAGAGCACCTACATCATCAGTTTTATCATCCTTTAGATCAGCGGTTCTCAACCTTCCTAATGCCACGACCCCTTAATACAGTTCCTCATGTTGTGGTGACCCCCAACCATAAAATTATTTTCGCTGCTACTCTATAACTGTAATTTTGCTACTGTTATGCATCGTAATGTATATATCTTTTTGTTTTCCGATGGTCTTAGGTGACCCCTGTGAAAGGGTCGTTCGACCCCCAAAGGGGTCGCAACCCACAGGTTGAGAACCGCTGCTTTAGATTATCATCATTGGTTAACTGGTACTAGTTGAGCAGACATTCAATTTAGCTTCATTTTCATTCTGTCTGTATATCTCCATCTTGTCCACAAAGTAATAAATATGACAACCTCTTAAAGATTAGATGATGCCACTGCCCTTCATTGAAATACCTTTAAAGAGAACGTAAATGACTGTGCTCACCCTTCAATGGCTGGGGATCTATCGGGACGAGCACTTCCTTGCGATCTGTACCTCCGAGTCATTGGCAGCCTTGGAGGCCGACTTGGTCCCCAGAAGTCACTGTGAGTTTGGTGACCTCTCTCATTGGCTCTGTTATCTTGGTCCAGTGGATTGCTACTTAGAAATGGTCTGAAATCTTGTATAATCATCGTGTGGTCCAAATTGCGCCAGAACTAGTAAAAACCAGAAATAAACCACATGTTACATTTTCAAGAATAAGGGGAAAGAAGAAATATTGAAAAAAGAGAGGACTGTAACTTAACATTTCAAAATTCAGCAGCTCTAAAATATAGGTTCCCCCAATTTTATGGAGGACAAAAGAGAAGTCTTTCAAGTGCACACACAGGGAAAAGAAAGCCAATAACATGGCGACACTTAGTTTCCTTCATATAGAAACAACAGGCCAATGGCTGAACCCCTTCCTTAACACTGAGCTTATATCCACACACCTCTGATGAGTTTCCCCTTTTGAAATAAAAACATGAGCCAAAGGTGATCATGGACGTCTGTCCTAAGCATAATCAATCATTTAGATCAACATTATAACTTTTACTTTTGTGTTTTGTCACAAATGACATCCACATTTTCACTATGTAATAATCTAAGATTTAAATAAAATGCATGTATTTATACATTTGTAAAAAAGCATCATTAGGGTGACATGTTAGCTCAGTCGGTTAGAGCATGGTGCTAACACCAAGGTTGCCGGTTCAATCCTGGCATGGGCCCCTGTGAGCTGCACCCTCCCTGAAAGAGTCAACTATGCCATTGTAGCATGACAGCAATGGGTAACAAATGACCATGGCTGCTCCCCAATAAAAATAAAAAAATTTAAAAATAAAGCATCATCACCACAAAGTGCAGATGTCTATAAAATACTTTTGATCTAGAAGCTTTGTCAGAAAACGGCAGTGTCAAAGCAGTGCAGGAATGTCTGATAAGACATTCTTGTTGTACATTTATTTAATCACTAAAAGGGTGTTGTTGGGGGTGGGGACGAGTGAGAGGTGGTGTGCACGTGTTGGCTTTGGCCAAGGAATCACTAAACAGAGAGTGAATGGAATAAATAAATTTTATTTATCTGTGGCACACCCAATATTTCAAGAGTTCCATAGAACATTTCATTCCATCCAACCAAGTAGATAACACTGGTCTTCTTGTTTTGTTTTAAAATTTTAAATGAAACAAAAACTTATTATGTATATATAATAACAGGGACACAAAACAGCTCAGCACATGACCTTAGGTCTTAAAATGTTCAGCCTTCCACTCCAGACTCATCCTTTCTCCCAGAGACCCGTACTAGCAATAGCCTCCTCTAGAAACACTCCGAGAAGAGTGAGCAGCCCAGCCGCAGGTTAAGCTGAGCTGATTCCAGATCCCACTCTGTTCTCAATCTACTATCCAGTCTCTTGTAAAATCAACTATCAAAATTAAGGAGTTTGTTTACGGTTGTCAATAATGGTGTTTTTTTTCCAGTTTATAATTTGCTTCTTAATTAAGATGCTTTGTCCCTTTTTAATTAAAAAATACACGAGAATATAAAAAAGTGCAATAGTCTCTATTCACTCAGGTGTGATCAACCCCAACCCTTACTTAATTCACCTCCCCGACTGAGAGGTTATTTTGGTGTGATTCCAGATCTTCAAGTATCTGTGTATATACACACACTAGGTTTTATAACACACACACACTCATTTATTCAACAAATACTTACTAAGCATGTACATGTCCCAGTTACTTTCTGGGAACTGTTAGGATACAGCAGGGAACAAAATGTTAAAAAACAAAAAAACTTCTGTCCTAATGGATTTCATTTGCAAGTGGGAAGAGACAAAAAAAAGAAGGAAAGTGTATATGTTAGACAGGATAAATGCTATGGAGGGAAAAAGACTTGCATTGACTCGGAGCACAGATAGTCATATCACTCCTTTCAACAGCAGCACAGCATGGGTGTTTTATATTTTACATAGTCATTAACATTTTTATTAACCTTGACCAGGTAATGCCAAAACTGTTTTCCAATGTGGCTGTACCAATTTACACACCCATCAAGAGGTCTGTACCAAACCCTGGCAACTACTCAACAGGACTTTTCGTTTGTTTAGTTTTTACCAATCTGCTGGATAAAAAAAAAACTATATCTCATTATAAGGTTTTGTTTTGGTTTTGGTTTATAAGAATCCATAGGAGGGTTTGTTTAAAATGCGTATTATTTGGCCCTACTCCAGCAAGTAAATTCAATATGTCTGCAGTGAGCCTAAAAGACTCCCTTCAGCATTTCATTTAAGTAGTCTATTAGTAATAAACTCCCTCAGCTATTGTTTATCTGGGAATATTTTAATTTCTCCTTTGTTCTTGAACGATAGTTTTGCGAACTGAGAATTCTTGATTGACAGTCCTTTCCCTTTCAGCACTTTAAATATGTCATCCCACTGCCTTCTATCCTTCAATATTAACCCAACCTTCAATTCTTAGAACAAATACAATTTGGCTTATGACACATTGGTGGGTTCCAATTCTGCATCTATATTCATGAGTGAATTGGCCTGTAATTTTCCTTTTTGCACTGTCCTTGCCTGGTTTGGGCATCAGGTTATACTAGCCCCATAAAATATATTGGGAAGCATTTCTTCTCTTTCGTATGAACATCCCATAGTACAGAAATAGAATTACTGGATATAGCATTTTAAATTTCACTAGATAGTACCAAATACTCTCCAAAGGGGTATATCAATTTATACTCCTACCAGAGTAAAGAGCTTACAGTCCCCCATACTTTTGACAACTGTGAATTTTTCTTAAATTCTAATATCCAATCTGAAGAGCAAAAATAACATGCACACTAAAAACAATAAGAATTCTCAAAATACTAGTGAGGTAATGCACCTTTTCATTTTAACTGCCATTTTTACTTCTTATCAGACTCATTTCCCTTTGCTTTCTAGTGACAGCCTCCATTTGTTAGAAATTACTGGTTTCTAGTCTCAAAAGTGGTCTCCAACAGTTTTTCTTGACCCGAAACCCCAAAGTAAATACAACATTTAAAAATCCAAAACTATAGTTGCCTTCAATGAGTGAGAAAGTGTGAGCAGCCCCCTCTATGTTCCCCATCATCTATTTCACTTAGGTTATAAACATAGGAAGAAATCCTATTCCATTTTGACGTAAAGTTCCATATTTGCTCATGGGAAAGAACTCTCAAAGCAATCATATTTTCATTATGATAAAACTAAATATTTGAAAATTGTGACTAGAAGAAAAGCTAAGCACCAAGCTCATCATATCAATAATCTGCACTGATGACATAAATCATTATCACATCTAATGTTATATAAAAATTATGAAGGAATGCAGGCTGACAAGTAGCTTCCACATCAGCATGAAGTATTTGGTTACTCGTTTAAAAACTGCAATTTAGTGCAAATGAGTATTAACGGCCAATGAATTTGTCCCAAAATAACGGCACCCAGACCATAGAACACAGGGTAAAAAAACACACCACACAAATTTATACCAAATCAACACTCAGGATAAGAATAGCTTCAGGTCATTTGCCTCTGAGCAGACTTAGACAAGCGTAAGGGAAAAAAACAGCTCATACAACAAAACTAGGTATTCAGGACATGGCTTACATAAGTACAAACAATTAGAGAACATTATCAAGTTTGGTGGAACATTCAAAAGAATTGCAGAGACAGTTTATCTGACAAGTTTTGTCTTGAAAAACTGAAAATGTTACTCTGAATGGAGGAATGAGACTATGCTTCTGAAAATAAGTGGGCTAAAATATTTACATATTTCAATATAAAACTCGATGGACAGTATCTTCCTTTTAGCAGAATATGCTATAAGCTGACCTCATGATCACATTGGCACCTCTTTTTTAGCTCCAGGTAGAGCTGTTGTTCAGCATCTTAGCTGTAGAGGGCAGTGTCACTGGCCCTCATATGTGGGATCCAAACCGGGGCCCTCTGGCGTCCCAAGCCAGCTCTAACCAACGCGGCGCCACTCAGCTAGCCCCACATTGACACCTCTTAAAATGTTATAGTTCCACAAAAAGTTAGTTACCATATGACCCAGCAATTTCACTCTTAGTTATACCCAAGAGAACTGAAAACATATGTTCACACAAAAATTTGTACACAAATATTCATAGCATTATTCGTAACAGCTAAAAAGTGTAAATGACCCAAATGTCCATCAACTGATGAGTGGATAAAATATAGCATAACGATATAATGGAATGTTATGCAGCCCTAAAAAAGAATGAAGTACTGACACATGCTATCACATAGATGAACCTTAAAAACACTACGGTAAGTGAAAGAACTCAGTCACAAAGCTCACATATTTTATGATTCCATTTTTATCAAATGTCCTAAATAGGCAAATCCATAGAAACAGAAAATAAATAGGGGAAATTGGGAAGGAAAAAAAGGAGTGACCAATGGGTACAGGGTTTCTTTCTGGGGCGATGAAATCTAGAATTAACAATGGTGATGCTTGTACAACTTTGTGAACATACTAAAACTGCTGAATTAAAAGAATAAATTACATGGTATGTGAATTATATTTCAAAAAAATATTATGGTCTACAAAGATGAGTCAATTGAGGATGAACTCGTTGAAAACATATCAAGAAAAGAAACATACCCATCACCTCCCTCCTACCCTCTCCCTGCTCCCAAGCAACCACTGACCCTTCTCTATGGTTTGCATTTTTAGAAATTTCTATTTTCTAGAATTTTATATAAAAGGAATCATATTTGTACTCTTTGGCTTCTTTTACTCAGCTTAATTATTTTGAGATTTATCCATATTTTTACATGTATCATTGGTTTTTGCTGAATAGTATTCCACATACTTTATATTGCTTAGTATTCCATAGCACAGATATACCATAATTTGTTCATCATCTACCTATTGATGGTATCTTGGGTTGTTTCTAGTTTTGGGCTATTATAAATAATATTTGGGTTATGAATATTTGTATACATATGTGTATGTGTGAATATATACTTTCTTTTCTCGAGTGGAATAGCTGGAGCATATGGTAGATGTAGTTTTATTATTTTTAAAAAACAGCTGGCCTGTTTTCTAAGTTGGTTGTACCATTTTTACATTTAATTTCAGTTGCTCCACAGCCTCATGAACAGTTAGTATGGTCATT